GTCATATTTTCGGAAATCCAACTCGGAGAAGAATTTATGGAGTTACTAATATCACACTATGTACAAAACTTCGTCTAGGACGAAAAATAGGCTGATTAAAATAAATACGTAAAATATGTAGTAAAATAAAGAAAAGAATATACTTTACTTCATTTTTTCGTCTCCCTTGAATAAAAAGTCATTTTCGAATAATTTATTGATGAAAGTAACAAAGAAGTAGGTATGCGCAGTATAACTCATAGGCACGCTATTTTCCCTCTTGCATCCTACATATTTTCTATTTGTGGTAGAGTAATAATTATATAAACTAATGTCTTTTGCCATATTGGATCCGTCATCTTGAATTTCCCAATTTTTACGATACAATCATCATCTCCTACCCCGAATACCCCCAGACACCAGTTTTGAATAAAATCGGATCTTCATTACGAAACAATCCACCATATTGGATCCGCCATCTTCAATATCCCAATTCTGACGAAATAATTATAATCTCGATCCGACTCCGGAAATCCCCATATACCAATTTTGATTTTCATTGGATCCGCTATCTTGAATTTCCCAATCTTGACTAATCATAAAGTTCGACCCCGAAAACCCTCAGATATTAATCTCAAATAGAATCAAATCATAATTAGAAATTTATTTCGCTAGATATTGGATCCGTCATCTTGAATTTTCCAAGTTTGACGAAACAATCATTATCTCCAACCCCGAAAAACCCCAGATATCTTTCAATTTTGAATAGAATCGGATCATAATTACAAAACTCGTTCGCAATATGATCTTCCTCAACAAGTGAATACCCTGTACATACCTATTATCAAAATTTAGAATGATTTTCTGTAGCGCCCATGGATGTGAGGTGACAGCAGTGTCAGGGATGCCAGTAGACAAAACTGAAGTCTCTAGATCATTAAAAAAGAATGCAGCTATGATCTGTCCGTACCCTGTTAGATGACTTTAACGTCAATTTCCATCAAGGGACCCTAGTTTCCCCTATCCTCACTGTTGTGAATTCGAGCCACAAATCCTGAGGCATCAATGAGTTTATGCCATATTCATTGGATTGGTGAAATTTACAAGTATAGTGACTAAAGACATGTTTTCCCTGCAAATAACGGAATTCCATGAATTATATAGTAACTTATCAAATATATAGAAGGAAATAAGCAGCCCCTACCCTTTCTGCTTGGCTTGCATGTCGAAAAAGTGTGAAAGCACTGATGAGTTTCCGAAGTTTACACAGTTCCAACTTAAATTCAAGTTGCATCATAAGTCAACCTGATACAGCATTGCCTAAACATCTCCCTGCTTCCATTCAAGTATAGGTAGATGGTTTTCATACTTGATAATATCTTCCGTGATAATGTTTCATTTTCGGGTTTCAACATGACAGATTTTTATTTACAAACTTGACAGAACCATGAAAAAAGTTATGGGTTAGGAATGAAATATGAATAACTTAGTTTACTTAGTTCACGTAGATGTCTCTGAACTACATATTTTCTTCAATTGTCTTTTCAATGAACAGACAATATTATAGCTCCTGCCTACTAACTACCTAACTAGGTTGTCATCTAGAACGACAATGCTCCAACAATTTGGCTTCTTTCACAGCTTCTTCGAAACTCATGGTAACTTTATTCATGAAAAGTTTCTCTTCAACTTTTCCATTTCCATATCCAGTTATGAATTTATCCCTCAGTAACATTTGAAGAACTTCTGGTCCGGTATATTTGCAGTGCATAGCTAATCGGCGGAGTCTTGCAGCCCAGTCACTTGCATTTTCATTTGAATCCTCCTTAGCACCCATTAATGCCTCTATATCTGGAAAAACTGCATGCTGCGTCTCGAAATGATTGTTGAATTGTTCGATGAGTACTTCATAATCCGTTTCCTCTGGTTTTTCCGGAACACACAGATCCAACATCAAAGAGAATGCAGTATCTGATAAGGATTGAATAAGGATTGCCCTTTTCTTACTGTTGTCCAAAACATTATTTGCTAGGAAGTACTGCCTCATTGGCCATCCAATTCATTTCTGTTCGGCAATTTTCTTCTACACAATACTTATATTCTGCTCTTTCCGCTATCTCGTCGCCAATAATATGTATTCAATAGGTCCTTTTGAGAACAGAATCGGTATTCGAAGAATAACTTTAATTTTTAGAAAACAACTGCGTTTACAATCAATAATCATTCCCTGACAACACCACAGCACACATTCTATATAACATCATTATACATACATATACTGTATGATATATCAATAAATGCATATCAGAACCCATAAAATGCGTTTTATTTGCTGATGACACCACCCTCATAAGCACTGGTAAGCTGCATGACGCACTATACCAGTAGCTGCTGAACTCGAAAAGAACGTTGCAAAAAATTGGTTTACGCGAAATAAACTCAAACTAAACGAGAACAAAACTCAAAACTTGATCGTCTCCTCAAATCCTTGATGATAGATGATAGATGAAATTGGTCCAGTCATGTAGATCAGGTGCTTAGTAAATTATCTAGTGTTCTATTCATATTGAGGCAACTTAAACCTGTTACTTATATGGATGTACTGAAAATCATGTACTTTTCTTTATTTCACTCTGTCTTATCCTATGGCATTCTTCTTTGGGGCAACTCTTGTAATGCGAATACGGTATTAAGGTCACAGAAAAGGGCTATAAGAATTCTAGCAAATCTTGAGTATAGAGATCATTGTGAACAATCCTCCATCAAATTAGGTATCATGCCACTCCCTACCCTGTATCAGTTCTACTGGAAATACATAGTAACAAGAGCAAATTCATAAAGCACTCGGATATACATAATTACAACACCAGATCCGCAGACTTCTTCATGAATCAGTTAAACTACTGGAACCAAAAAAATTCAAAACAACAATCAAAAGATTTCTTCTTGATAATTGTTTCTACAGTATATCCGAATACCTCCAGAAATCGAAATCTTTTAGAGCTTAGACTAACATAGGGCAACATAGCTTTTATGTTTGCCATTGTTTTTATAACTTTTCAATTGATATTATCATTTATCTATTTATTTATGTGATTTTTTTGAAATTATTTTATTGATATTTGTCATTTTTTATCATATCATATACGTTTGTCATGTAATTCTTTGATGTATATTACAGATACTAATTATTTTTATCACATTTTCAAAATTACCACTATATTGTATTTCAATATGTTAGTATTGATACTTTACTGTGCTACTTTTCCCTTGCCCTGCTGACCTGCTATAATAGTAGATTGTTTTATTAGGATCAAAAGTGACACTTTGTTTGACAAGCGAATTTTGCATTTGCGAGGCATAGCGTTTAGCGAAGCCGAGCGAAAGCAAAATTTGCGAGTCGAACAAAGTCACTTTTGATCCGAATGAAACATGCTATTTTTTCTGCAACCGAAACAATCAACTCAAATAAACATGTGGAGTAATCACCAATGTCGTGCCATATGTAGGTATGCAATACAACAAATATTGACAAATAATCCATGTGGTGAGAATATTCTACCTGCATTAACAGCAGGTTAGGTTTCCTAGGATGTTCGAATTGTAGTTTCAATTTAAATACAACCACAAAGTGAAATATTTTTGTGTGGACCAGGTGCTCTAATGGCAAATACCGCGCCAGTGCCAGCTATCAACAATGATAATAGTGATTATTTTTATTCCTCTCCATACCTCGCTCCATACTATACTGTGTTTGACTTGAATAATCAAATGAAGCTAAACAATATCGTTGTTTGAGACAAAAAACTATTGCTTGCCGTGATTATTCAAAAACAAGTTATCCATCCCGAGAATAACGAATGCAATACAGATCAAGCAAGTATTTGAATCTTGAAGGCTTCCCTGATCAAAACAAAAATACTTAACTGAGATGTTTATAATTCCAATACTAAACTATAATAAGGTGTTTTTATGTCTCCAGCATGGGTATGAAATGCCAAATCTGCTGAAATCGGAAACAAATCAGGTATGCGTCTCAACCCAAATAACCAACCGTCACAATGTTGTTCATTCTTGATGACGTCCAGTACATCCTTTTCAGTTCCTAGCTAAAGGAGCAGTTGAACTTTAGCTCCTAGGAACTCAAATTCAACTTTAGCTCCTAGGAACTAAATATGTTGCCTAGCAACATACCAATTTTTGTGTCAGTAATAGAAACGTCAATTTAAGAGCTAATTTTGGTATCAAAATGGACGACTTTTGTGTCGGTTGCAAAAAACATACTTGTATGTAACAGAGTTGAATGAACTCTATCTATCTATCTATCTATCTATACTTGAACAGTTTCCGACCATTTTTGAGGAGAATGCGATGAAATGTCCTATCAGAAGTTCGTTTCTGGAATGTTCATATGGAAAAAAATGTGGGATACTAAGCAAAATATACTAGACAATGGTATAACTGCTCTGAAGGAATGTAACAAACATTTGTTTCCTAACATGAACATTCTTCTGGAACTATTTTATGTTGCCTGCCTGTAAGTGTTGCATCTTCTGAAAGGGGTTTTACAGCACTCAGAGGGCTGTTATTTAGTTTTTGAAATTTTTATTCTTCATTTTATATATTTTCATATTTGTCAGTGTCATTTGTTTTGTTTTTGAACAGGAATATTTTCTTATACTTTTGTACCCAAGTATTTCAAGAGGAATATTTTGTTTTTAACTTTTTTCATCCAATATGATTTATTGCAGAATTCTATATATTATATTGATGTATTCAATAGAATAGTTTGAACTTGTTTTTTTCACACTAGTAATTTCGATACTTCATGTTCACTAGTATCAATTGTTTTAATGAAAAAGCATTTGTCTCAGAAGGTAACCATATATAATTTCTCTTCCGTGTTAACCTTATTGAGCCGTGACTTTCTATGCCCCCCCCCCCTCAAACATCGTCTGGATCCGCCCCTGGAAATTGGATATGAATTGTATATGGATTGAATGAAAAAAAAAATGCGGATCATTTGTTGAGTAGTACACATTTATAATAAAATATAGAATACAAAGCAGGTAGGTAGGTTTTCATAATCGAAAATATCGAAATTCATTTTCTTTATCTGATATCATCATTATCGTTTGGTGGGTTGGACAAGCGTCCTGGAAATGTTTTGTTTTTTCTATATACACACTATTCACTAGGTGGATACATTCAGTATGTTCAATCAATTGAATGAGGCTTTTTGTTCTCGGTAAGGAATAATAAACTCAACAATATTGGGTTTTCTATGTGGGTACGTCGAAAGAGAAAGACTGAGAATATGATTAGCAGAAAACTGTATCTAAAGGACGAAGGACTTTAACCCAACTCTGATATAATCATCAACTGGTACACTTCCTGTGCTGATAGATGCTGATTTTGAAATCGATTTCAAAATCGACTATTATTTCCGTCACGAGGGTTGCTGCTTATCCAATGGCTGATGAGGTCTATAGGCAACGGGAAAACGATAGTTGAATTCTTCTCAGCAGAAATATTGGTCAGGGTTTGCAAGTATCTCAGCTGAAAAAAAAAAGAATTTCAATATTCATGAACTGACTCATTCATATCATATTCAAAACATTTTTGTTGATGAAATTCATGGATTTTCATTCAGTAGCAAATCTAGGACAGGCAGCAATAATTCCAATCATTCTTCAGCGTCATCAAATCAGGAATCAGATCGTTATTATCAATCACCTTGCGCATTCGGCGTAATAGATGAATTATTTATCATTGAGGTAATTCGTTAAACGTAAAGAAATTCAGCAGTAACGAATCTCTCCAATTATAAATATAAAACAAATCTGACAAGAACAAACATTTGATGATTATTATATTTTGCTCTCCTTGCTTAATATATACCTATATACACTCACCGGCAAAAAAAACCGGCCACCAAGAAATTTAGTTAAGTTTTTCGCCCTGTAACTTCTTTAGTTCTTGTCGGATTTTGGTGAAATTTTGATCAAATCGTAGATTCATGTTCCGGAATGTTAACCTGGATATGAACTCCCAAAAAAGCTGATAGCTTGGTCATTATACAGGGAAAAACAGGAGTTACTCATTTAGCCATAAGTTCTTAACGCCTTGTGGCTGAAGTGAGTGGTTGAACTCTTCTTCATTATGTTTCGGATTGAAGAGTATTCTTTTCTCATCACAATAGTTTTCTATTCACGTCAATATCTCATTTTTTAGAAAAGATACGAGGGTTTTAAGAAAGTGTGGAGTTATTCAAGTTTCATTAACAATCATCAGAACGTAGATATACACCTACACAAAAAACCTTAATTACAAAAAACAAACGAAAAGTAGATCAGATGTATTCAATACCGAGTATGCCCTCCTCGAGCTTGAATTACAGCATTTAATCGCCGTGGCATCGAGTTGGTCAGATTTTTCAAGCAGTCTTGAGGAAATACTCGGTTACAATTCGAGCAACGTGTGGTCTGGCGTTGTCATGCATCAAGGCAAAGCCGTCTTCAATAAAATGGGTATATGGGACGACAGCTTCTTGTGAAATATCCTCCACATATCTGTGGGCGTTCAAAGCACCATTTTCCACAAATACGAGGTCGGTATGGCCTTCTGTAGAAATGCCTGCCCACGCCATAACTGAACCTCCGTTGAAAGATACCCGTTCAGAGAGTGCAGTCCACAAATCGCTCGTTTTCTCTTCTCCATACCCTTTCTCGACCATCAGGTGATCGCAAACAAAAACGTGACTCATCGGTGAAGAGAACCCGAGGGGTAAATCACTGGGGCAGTCCGGTGTACATTCTTTTGGCAGTCCGTGGCAATCCGGTGGCAGTCCGTGGCAGTCCGGTGGCAGTCCGTGGCAGTCCGGTGGCAGTCCGGTGGCAGTCCGGTGGCAGTCCGGTGGCAATCCGGTGGCAGTCCGGTGGCAGTCTGGTGGTCTCTCGTCTCGTCCCTCGTAATCCGACAATAATTATCACAAACTGAATTCTGAATTTGAAAATTCAAGAGGGCGTTCGCAAGGTGGCGGCGACTTTGTTATTTATTCTCTGATTTACCTGAGAATGTACACGTAGGGGTTCTCGAGATTGGCAATTTCGAGTCCAAATTTTGAAAAACAAGATGGCTTCTGTAGGGAGGCGTCAGTTTTTTTTCATCTCTTGGAGCGCACGAAAGGTTATTCCTATAACCGGGAAAAGAAATCAGTTATTCTTGGAGTAATCATGATTTTCGAGTTCGTTTTGAAATTCTAGATGGCGCCCACAATGGGATGGAAAACTTTGTCATTTATTGTCCGAATCGCCTGAATAAAAAAAGTTCACCTTGGGGATCTCAAGCTCCAGAGTTGATACCCACGCAAATTTTGTGTACTATGGGCATACTGCAATTGCGCGCAGCGGTCAGTATTCTCATCAGTGTGTCCTTATCTCGGTCCTAATCCTTGTCCTTATCCCATAGTGCAATTGCACGCACGTCCCAAAAAAGGTATGCTGTAATTGCGCGCAAAATAGGAAACAGTTTCATATGTTTTGAACTCATTGCATAAGAAGGGAGACTAATTTGTCTAAATAATCTAACCTAGCTTGACCTAATATATAGATAATATGAAGAAGGAGAATATTCTTTCTGCATAAGAGAGGATACTACTTTGTATTAACAATTTTGTATTTATACTGTATTTAACAAATAAGAATTCACAAAATTTCAATGAGAAAATAGATCTCAGAGCAGTACCTGTTTAAGAATTTGTTTATCTATACCTGCCTTAATCCTTGTACATATCTTTTCACCATATATGTATCGACCTGTAACTCAAGTATTTTTGGAATGTTTTCAAAATTTATTTTCAAATTTTATTTGTATCAGTCCATACGGTTTTTTTCGAGGTTTCCTTGATCTCTTTCACAATTTTAATGTGTCGAGGCGAGTGTCCAGGTCTAGTTCTAGGTAGTAAATCTCTCTCTATTTCCACCTCTCGGTATGCTTAATGAAATCCCCATTGTGAAAGAGATAACAAAACTGTTCGTATTATAACTGATATTATCCTTAATGAAATATTTATTTTGTTTTTGTTAGTTCTGATTTTGTTACTTTTGTTTTTGTTACTATTGATTTTGTTACTTTTTCTACTTTTGTTCTATAGGAATCAATCTAATAAATATTTTTGTAATGAACTCATGATATTATTTCAGCTTGATATTTAGTAGATGCATATCAATAAACACACTGTGTGGCATCTAGAATGATGTCAAAGCTGTAGATTTTGAATCGTTAAATCAATTAATAATTATCATTATTTACCCATGAATCGGGCGAATCGAAAGAGAATGGATGTTGAAATCGCCCGCCATCTTATGGGACGCCATCTTGAAATCTCAAATGCGACTCAAAATGCGTATTTTTCATCCACGATTTTGTGACAAATTGATAAGGAAATGACAAAATCGTTTGAATTTGAATATTCAACTAGGAATTCTGATATCTCAAACTTTAAACCCCCAGAGTTTTCATTTGAGGCATTTTGGGGCGAATCTGATATTCTCAAATACAATTCAAAATTCGTATTTACCGAGATATTAACGAACCAAGACAAATCCTGATTTGACCTTCCAAACGGATTGAACGAAATAAGTATATCAATTTTCAAATTTTCACTCAAAATTCGTATTGTTCAACCTCGAAAATTTTGTGCGGAACATTTTCAGGCGAATCGACAGAAAACATCGGCTTTCTGTACTATTGACGTGTATTTCCACTTCACCTATTGCACCGCAAAAAATATCTTCATTTCATGTAGATTTAATGAGATATGTTATGTAATATACAGGAATGTTATACTTTCCGGATCAGTTTCTTATGCCATAGGTTTCCAATGAGATCTTCATATCGTAGGTCACGGTTGATGATTTATTTCTTCTCTGTTAATCACCATCGGGGATGCATTTCTAGTACTTATTCAGTCAGAACGGTTTTCGTGAACTTTGTTCTTGTGGTGAATTGAAATTTCCAAAAAACAGCTTTATTTTTATTGAAACACATGATTGAGTGATAGTCCATTACATTTCAATGGCAGTCCGTGGCAGTCCGGTGGCAGTCCGTGGCAGTCCGGTGGCGGTCCGTGGCAAACCAGTGGCAGTCCGTGGCAGTCCGGTGGCAGTCTTGGCAGTCCGAGTATGAATGGCAGTCCGGTGTACACGAATTTGCTCAGTGATCTATCCCTCGAGAGAACCTCTTTCCATTGTCGAAGTGTCCAATTTGCATGTAACCGTGCAAACTGTAGTCGTGTTCTACGATGTCTAGGTAGCAACTGCGGTCGTGTATAGCAGGTCTCCTCGATGCCAAACCATATTTTCCAAGCATCCGCCTGATGGTTCTTTCACTAACATCAACACCTCGAACAGCGTGCAATTCATGTTGAAGCTGAACAGGTGTTTTTCGGCGATTCCTGAACGATCTAAGCGCAACAAAACGATCATCAACCCTACTTGTTGCTCTTCTTCTTCCGGATCCATCAGCACGCCTTTCGAATCTGCCAGTCTCCAGAAAACGATTCCAGACATATTGAACTGCAGTTCGAGGTATTCCTAATGTTCGAGACACATAATAACGCTGACTGTGACCATTTTGAAGCAAAGCTACCACTTGAGCAACATCCGCATTATTATTACCCCAAAACTGTTTTTCTTTTTAACAACAATAATGACATGCCACCGTGAATCACGAACTAAAACAAAAGGTGAATATTTGTATTATTGGAACAGTATTGGAATGAAAATATTCACAAGAATACCACAATCGCCGGAATTATGAATTGGTTGAGAGCTAAAAAAATTTAATAAATTGACAAAGCCCATGGCCATGGGCGAAACGTTTTTCTACTTAATCCTTCGAATTATTTATGAAACCGAATCCAAACCCCAAGAAAAAGCTGCAAATCAAAAAAATTATTGATTAACTGTCAAAATCACTCCAGACTATTTTATTTTAAATAATCGAGGGTGATCAGTATTTTTCTGCCGGTAGAAGTGAAGTGTCAATCGACAGCAATTTTCGAAGGAAAGTATACCAAGAAAACAATGTGGAAATAAGCCATATTGATTTTAAGATGTATTTTTTGAGTTGTTGATCGATAAGTTTATGTAGGTTCTGATGATTGTTAATAAAACTTGAATAACTCCATACTTTCTCGAAACCCTCGTATCTTTCCTATGAAATGAGATATTGACGTGAATCAGAAACTATTGTGATGAGAAAAAAATACTCTTCAAGCCAAGACATAATGACTTCGGCCACAGGGCGTTAAGAAGTTATGGGTAAATGAGTAACTCTTGTTTTTCCCTGTATAATGACCAAGCTATCAGCTTTCTTGGGAATTCATATTCAGGTTAACATTCCGGAACATGAATCTACGATTTGATCAGGATTTCACCGACTAAAGAAGTCACAGGGCGAACAACTTGACTAAATTTTTTGGTGGCCGGTTTTTTTTGCCGGTGAGTGTATATTTACTACTAACTTTCTCTACACATGTTCGTTCAGACTTTTCG